GGGTTTAGGGTTTAGGGTTTAGGGTTTAGGTACCCTGAGACATTCTGTGGGCTTGAGATCGTCGACTGTGCGGCCCCTTCAGTGGTACAATGGGGACCTCCGGCATTCCCTCTTGCATGAGGGCGGCGAGAAGAGAACGAGGGTTTAGGGTTTAGGGTTTAGGGTCCAGGGTTTCAGGGGCGCTAGCGTGGTGCTTCCCCGTGGAAGCCCGGCATCCGTTGCTGCTGCAGTTCAGAGAGCCATCCACGGAGCTGCTGCGCGGGAGGCGTATAAAAACGAGGGTTTAGGGTTTAGGGTTTAGGGTTTAGGGAGCAGAAGGCGCGTGGGCGCTCCTCATTGGCAATTTTCGGTTCCTCTGCACCGCCGGCTAGCCGCTGCTGTATTCACGGATGCTTGCTTTCTCGAGGGTTTATTTCTTCATTTTCTACAGAAACCCATTTCAAAATAAATGCAATTCATATTTTTTGAATTAAAAAACGAAAATGGCGAACGGAAAAGAAAGGAAGCTCCCGCGTTCCCATGCACGGCTGCTCGCAGCGGGAAGCCAGTGGGTCGGCTTGGGGCCCGCGATCAGCCGGCTTCCTGGCGCCTTCAGAAGATAAATTTGGCATTTTTAGAATCCTTTCGTCAAAAAAAACACGAAAATGCGCTTTTTAAAACCCTATTTTGTTGTTTTAATGGAAGATCGCGGGCCTGGAGCCGGCGCGGTGCGCGCGGCTAGCAAGACCGGCACTGTACAGACACCCGAACAGCTGCGGACGCCCGTGTCTCGGTTCCTCTTCCTTTTCCATTTCTTTTATTAAAATAGAAACATTTTGGAGTTCAGCGACGGAGAACTTATCCATTAAAACCCCGAGAGGCCTTTAGCGGAGAAGTCCGCTCGCTTTAGATTCTCGCCCTTCTCGTTCACACTTTGCAGACAACGCAGAGACGGGAACCCACTGACTCCACAGGATCCTCTTTTTAACTTTCTGAATTTAGTCCACTTAATGCAAAAAAGAAAATAAATAAATTCTTTTTTCCCCTGGCTTTCCCGTGGGAGCCAAACTCACTCGCCCAAGCTTAGGTGTGTGTACACGAACAACAGCGTGTACACACACCTAAGCTTCACGCCGCAGATGACTCGCCACGCGGCCTCTAGGGTTTAGGGTTTAGGGTCTAGGAATTAGGCCTGAGGGTCTAGGGTTTAGGGTTTAGGGTCTAGGGTTTAGGGGATTTGGCTTCACTTTGTGCAAGCGTAGCAGAGGGTGATTCGGAAGGCAAACTTTGGAAGTGTCCGTCATAGTGAGACTTTGCAGTGGTACAGTTTCAAACCCTAAGCCCTAAACCCTTAAACCCTAAACCCTAATCCCTAACTACGGAGAGTTCTGTAGGACACAAACCCTAAACCCCACAGCCCAAACTTCTTCAAAACGTCAAGTGTGCAGAACTGATAAGAACTTCTAAACCAAAACCCTAAACCCTAAACCCTAGGCCCAAGCGGCAGAGCTAATAAACTCAGCCTTTATACCTAAACCCTAAACCCTAAACCCTAGACCTGCGAGTTTCTTAAAATAAATTCGACTCAAAGAACTAAATTTTTGAGCCGACTGGAATTTCTACTGAGGTGTTTTGGTGCTTGCATATACGACTTGTGCTATTCCTACAAATCAGGGACTAGGGTTTAGGGTTTGGGGTTTAATTTCGGGGTTTAGGGTTTAGGGTTTGGGGCTTAGGGTATCATCGGGTGTAGAGCGCAGGGCCAGGGTTCGCCGTTTAGCCTTTTAAGTCAAGATCATATTTGCGCCATTTACTATCAAATCTAGGCTTAGAATTCAGTGTTTAGGGTTCAGGGTTTAGGGTTTAGGGTTTAGGGTTTAGGAAATAGGAAATAAACTGTGTGCGCGCTGGAAATAAAGCGCCGCTCATGCAAATGTCTTTAT